CTTTCAACCATCATCTAAGCCCACTTCTCTAAGGCTAACTAGTTCATAAAATACTTTCTAATAGATTTCATGGCTTTGTTAACTTTGCTTATACATTAAAACAATTTGACAGTGACATTACTAATACTCCCCTTTTGATGAAACACTTCAGAAAACTATCTGTCTACAAGAGAGTATAAGAAACTCATTTTAGAATTAAGGCACACATCGACCAATATCTATCATATCAGATATCCCATGCATATCCCAAGCAAATGGAAATGAAAAGAAGGCTGGAGTAGTTATATCCATATCAGACAAAATATACTTTAAAACAAAGACCATAATAAAAGGCAAAGGGTATTACATAACAATAAAAGTGTAAATGCACAGAGAAGATATAACATTTTTATGTTAATGTCATATTTATTTATATTAAATGATTAATTAAGTGTATATTAAACGTTACATCATAACATGTAACACTTAGGAATATATATGTACCCAACATAGGAGTTCCAAAATATGTAAGGCAAATATTAACAGAACTAAAGGGAGAACTTGAAAGCAATAAAATAATAGTGGAAAACTTTAATATCCCATTTTCATCAATGGATAGAACATTCTGACAAAAAATCCATAAGGAAACATCAGCCTTAAACAACACATTAGACCAGATGGACTTAATAGATATTATACAGAACAGTCCTTCCAAAACCAGCAGAATACACATTCTTCTCAAGTGCACATGGAACACTTTCCAGGATAGATCACATGTTGGGCCATAAAAGTCTCAATAAATTCAAGGAAATTGAAATCATATCACTTATCTTTTCCAACCACAATGGTATGGAACTAGAAATTAATTACAAGGAAAAAAATGGGAAATACAAAACATGAAGATTAAACAACATTCTACTTAGCAACCAATAAGTCATCAAAGAAATCAAAGGAAAAAAAAACAACTAGAGACAAATGAAAACAGATATGCAGCATACAAAACCCATGCAATGCAGCAAAAATGGTTCTAAGAGGGAAGTTCACAGCAGTACAGACCTACCTCAAGAAATAAAAAAATCTCAAATACACAATGTAACTTTTATACCTAAAGGAAATTTTTTAAAAAAGGACAAACAAAGCCCTAAACTAGTAGAAGGAAGGAAATAATAAAGATCACAGTGGAAATAGATGAAATCAAGACTAAAAAGACAATTTAAAAGATAAATGAAACTAGGAGCTGGTTTTTTGAAAACGAAATAAAATTGACAACCCTTAGCTAAACTAGCCAAGAAATAAAGGAGACTCAAAGAAATAAAATCATAAATGAAAGTGGCAAAGTTAAAATTGATCTCGGAGAAATACAAACGATGATAAGAAACTACTCTCAACAATTATATGACAACAAGCTGAATATCCTAGAAGAAATGGATAAATTCCTAGAAACATACAATCCTCTAAGACTGAATCATGAAGAAATACAAATTCTGAATAGATGGATTATTAGTAAGGAAATTGAAAGAATAATCAAAAACCTCCCCCAAAACAAAATTCAGGACCAGACAGCTTCACTGGTGTTTTCTACCCAACATTCAAAGATTTAATACCTATTCTTCTCAAAGTTTTCCAAAAAATTAAAGGGTAGGAAAAGTTTCCAAACACATTTTTAAAGCTAACATTACCCTGATACCAAAACTACGTAAAGATACCACCAAAAAGGAAACTACAGGCCAATATCCTTGATAAACATACATGCAAAAATTCTGAACAAAACATCAGCAAATCAAATTCAACAATACAGTAATAGATCATATACCACAATCAAGTAGGATTTATTCCAGGGATGCAAACATGTATTCAACAACCACAAATCATTCAATGTGATACATCACATTAACAAAATGAAGGATAAAAATGATATAATCTCAATAGATGAAGAAAATAGACAAAATTCAATATCCATTTATGATAAAAACTTTCAGCAAAGTGTATATAGAGTGAATATACCTCAACATTAGGTCATATATGACAATCCCACAGCTAACATCATACTCAATCATGAAAAACTAAAAGCTTTTCCTCTAAGATCAGGAACCAGATAAGAATGCCCCCCTTACCACACAGTACTGGAAGTACTACCCAAAGCAATTAGGTCAGAAAAAGAAATAAAAATCATCCAAATCTGAAAGGAAAGAGAAAGACTATCATTATTTGCAGATGACATCATACTATGTAGAGAAAGCCCTAAAGAATCCACCAAAATAATTAGAACTAAAAGTGAATGTAGCAAAGTTTCAGGGTACAAAATCAATATTCAGAAATCTAGGCATTTCTGTACACTAATAACAAAACTTCACAAAGAGAAATTTTTAAAATTTTTCACTCACAATTGCAGCAAAAAGAATAACATATCCAGAAATAAACTTAACGAAGGAAATGAAAGACCTGTACACTGAAAACTATAGGACAGCTGATGAAAGAAATTGAAGAAGACACAAATAAATGGAAAGATATTTCATGTTCATGGATTAGAAGAATTAATATTGTTAAAATGCCCATACTACCCAAGGCAATCTACAGATTCAATACAATCCCTATCAAAATACCAATAGTATTTCTTACAGATCTAGAACTAATAATACAAATTTGTATGGAACCACAAGAGACCCCAAATAGCCAAATGAGTCTTGAGAAAGAAAAACAAAACTGCAGGTATCACATTCCCTGCTTTCAAACTATACTACTACAGTAATCATATTTTTTTGGAGAACAAAAACAGACATGCAGATCAATGGAACAGGACTAAGGGCCCAGAAATAAACTCACCCATATAAGGACAATTAACCTATGACAGAGGAGCCAAGGACATAAGATGGAGAAAGGACACTCTCATCAATAAATGATTGTAAGAAAACTGAACAGCCACATGCAAAAGAATGAAACTATCTTTCACTATAAACAAAAATTAACTCAACTGGATTTAAAGACTTGAATGTAAAATCTGAAACTGCAAAATTCTTCGACGAGAGCACAGGCAGTAAACTCCTTGACATGTCTTAGTGACGTCTTTGTGAAGTGCCTCCAAAAGCAAGGAAAACAGAAGCAAAAGTAAACAAGTGGGACTAGATCAAACTAAAAAGCTTCTGAACAACAAAGAAAACCATCTTCAAAAGGAAAAGACAACCTGCTGAATAAGAGAAGATATTTGCATACCTTATATCTGATAAAGGATTGATATTCAAAATATATAAGGAACTCATACAATGCAACAATGAAAAAACAACCCAATTTAAAAAATGGCAAAGGCTCTGAAAGAAGACATCCAGATGGCCAACAGACACTTGAAAAGATGCTTAACATCACTAATTATTATGGGCATGAAAGTCAAAAAAGCCACAATGAGATATCACCTAACAGCTGCTAGAGTGGCTATTATCAAAAAGACAGGAAATAACACGTGTTAGGATGTGGAGGAAAGGAAACCCTCGTACACTGTTCGTGGAAGTGTCTAGTGGTGCAACCAGTATGGAAAACAGGATAGAGCTTCTTCAAAAAATTCTGCCATATGACCCAGCTATTCCACATCTGGGCATTTTTCTGAAGAAGACAGAAACGCTAATTTGAAAAGATCCCTGCACTTCTATGTTCACTGCAACATTATTTACAACAGCCAAGATATGGAAACAATCTAAGTGTCGTCTAATACATGAATGGATAAAGAAGCTGTGGTATATTTCTATAATGGAATATCACTAGCCATCCAAAAAAATGAAATCTTGCATTTGTGACAACATAGATGGACCTTGGGAGTATTATACTAAGTGAAGTAAGTCACATGAAGAAAGATAAATACCACGTGATTTCACTCATACGTATAATTTAAAGCAAACAAACAAACAGAATAAAATTTAAAAGAACCTCAGAGATACAGAGAATAGACTAGTGGTTACCAGAGGGGAAATTGATGGGGGGAAGGTATGTGTACGAAATGGATGAAGAAGGTCAATTCTATGGTAATGGATAATAACTAGACTTGTGGTAATTATTTTGTAGTGTATTCAGATGTTGAATTATAAAGCTGCACACATGAAACTAAATAAATTAAATAAGTAAAGTACAAGTTGTCTCAAAACCATATGAATTGAAGGGGGCTAAAATGGCAATTTGCTAGTCATTATGTCTACATGTGGGCATAACATGGAACCTGCTCTGCTCTGAGTGATTAGCAGTGAGGTCTCAGCCAGCTTTCAGAATAAGCCATGTTAGAGAGAACCGTCAAGAACTCAGTTAAAAAGAACAGAAATGGGGTGCCTGGCTGGCTCAGTCAACTAAGCGGCTGACTCTTAATTTTGGCCCAGGTCATGATCTCATGGTTTATGCGATCAAGCCCCATGTTGGGCTCTGTGCTGGCAGAGGAGAGAACCATTAGCCTGTTTTCTCCCTCCGTCTCTGCCCCTCCCCTGCTTACACAAGCATGCGCTCTGTCTGTCTCTCTCTCAAAATAAATCCATAAATATTAAAAAAAATAACAGGATGGCCAAACCATTGCCATTCTAAAGACCTCTTGTTTAGCTCTGCCAACAGCAACACCAAATGTGCCAAGGTGAAGTGTAAAGAGGGTGGGGTTGGACCGGAGAAAATAAGTGTGGCTGTTTAGCTTTATAATGACAGAAGGAAAATCCCTCCTAGATTATGTATATTGTTTGTTTTGCTGAATATCATCCTAACTGCTATGACGGCAGATGCTATTACTTAAAATGCATATTAAGTTACCTGGTCCTTGTTAAAACCTCATCAGACCATTTAACTGCTAAATTTCTCTTAGCAACAAATTCTAATGGAAACATCTCAGTGGTGCTTCTGAGAGAGGGTCACGCCTGATTTCGAGTATCTGTAGAAAAGTGGGATGGCCCCATCCCATCCTAGAGTCACAAAAGGTGCAAAAACAAATACCACCATTTTTCCTGTTGAATTATAAAAGGTGAAACAAATATTAATAGTAATTTCCAAAGGAATTAACTTACTTTCAGTGCAAATAGGACAGCATCCTTTTCTGTTGAGAATTTTACCCTGATCAAGAGGAAAAAAAACAAAAACACAAGAGCTTAATGTTAAGAAACAGGGAACACTGAGGATAAAACTCTTTGTTGAATCTAATACCGGTCAAACCAATGAAATCGGTCCAAGCTATATTTGAACTCAATGCCCAGATGGTGATGATGATAGTGAAAATGAACTTCGAAGTATCAGGTTCTAATGCCAGGCAAAGTCATTCAGAAAGCTTTCCTGTTCTGATCCTCTGAGAAATATAATATCCAAAGGACTCACTGGTGTGATTTTTCTCACATGGAAGGAAGATGGAGATAGTCTGGATTCAACCTTTTCACTGATATCCAGACTAGCCCTCCAGAGACCTAGTGTACACACATAAAAATGAGAATTTTCTGTCAGTCTCTCAATCCATGTAATACCTTTGATCTATCTTTGCTTGTTAGAGGTGCCTAAACAGTAAGTCATAACCCACATGCAGGCCTATGGATGTGGACAATATCTGTGCTACAGATCAGATTCAGTCAGATTTTACTTTCAGAAAGTGGTATGCTATCCATGTTAAGTCACTGTTATGCAGTCAAAGCCAATGAAGCCAAGGGTTTTGAAATGCTGAGTAATTTTCCATTACCTTTCTGGAAATACAGTGTAATCTCTTATCTGTTTCTTCTAATTTTTTAAGTGCATGACATTAAAACAAGAAAACATATTCTCAGGGTCAATATCAGAGAATGGCATTGTCTTATCTCTGACTCAGTGAAGCTCAGAGAGAAAAAGAAGTATGGTCAATTGCCACTACTGATCAATTGCATGTAGAATAGAATAGAATAGAATAGAATAGAATAGAATAGAATAGAATAGAATTAGGTACGCAAAAAAAAAATCATACTGACTTAAAAAATGCTGGTTGATAATTGAAGAACTAGAACATCATCTGATTCATTTTTGCAGCAGCCAGGCCTAAAATGGTACATTAAAGGCTGTGACGACGTTGAGACTTAAAACTCAGTTCTACTCTACCCTCCCCTGGTTTGGGGCATTATGACATATTTTCATTGCCTAGAGCTCTATTCATTTCTATTTGGCACAGAGGCCTCCTTTAGTTTTCTTGTGACTGAAAGAAGCCGAAGACAAAATCAAATGAAATCTGCTCTAGCCAAAATCAATGAGGTTGGCTCCCCCTGGAGTAGTGGCCCCAGGGGAGCGCAGAACTATTTGAACCAAGACCCTAACAGAGGGTGACTATATGAACCCCCACATCTGTACCTTGGCAGAAACCTCCATCTCCTTTCTCCTGGAACTGAGTGCAGCTGATAATCTCACTGAATCATATAAGGAATAAATCAAGCGCAAGCTCTGAAATCCAGGCTCCCAAGTTATATGTAACTAGCTGTAGAACTCTGTGGACACGTGACCTCACTGGTAAGAAGGGTCTAGTAATAGTGCCCAACTCAGAGGGGTGGTCTCAACATTAAACAGAGGAAGTCCTGTGACTGTACAGCAAGTCTCAGTACGTATCAATGATGATGAGATGGCAATGTTATAATGACCTGTCCTCACTGGAACCCCCCACAAGCCTTCTCACAACCTCCCTGACTCTGTGGAGGACTTAAGGGGAGGATGGACAGGAAATCCAACCATTAAGCCCTTCAACCCATACTTCTGGAAAAAGAGAGGAGCAGTAGCCAGGAAGAACAGAGCAGGGAATATAGTTCGCTTCTTTAAAAAAAAATTTTTTTTTAATTCCTCCAGGCAATGCAAGGGAGGGGAAATATGCATTTAACAGGGTTTCCATGGTAGAACTAAGTTATCTTCCAAAGTCTTTGCACTGGCCCCTGAGGAGGGAAAGTGTGAACCGGAGGAAAGGCTGGAAAGCTGCCTGGAAGCAGAAAGGTGGCCCCTGGGGCAGGAGCGGGGCCCAGACAAGCTTTGACAAGAGCAGGAGGGGGAGGAAAGGTCTGCCCTTGGAGAGATGGATGCTCCTGGCTCCAATGAGGTCCTCACAGGGGAGATGCTAACGAGATGCCACTGACATAAAGAACATTGACCTCCCCACAGCAAGAGGACAATGAAACCCATCAACCCTGCCACAAGTGACGGGGCTCAAGTAAAGCTGAAAACTCCACAACGGCCTGTTGAGGCTAGTTACTTGAGCCACCAGGTTGGCACAGCGTCCTGTTTTTGTCTTGTAGAATAAGGAAGCCCATTATTACCAACATGTGCTGCAGCAGTTCATTAGCAGTGAGGGTTCCCCAAGGACTGGCGTAAATGATGTGATCCCATTTTTCCCGATGAATATTTATAAGCAGACCATGTTCAAGTCTACTTATTGTATCTCCCTCTTTTTTTTCTTTTATGGGAGGTTTTCAGTTTTATGTCTGAGGCTTTTTAAAGCAAGACTAATTAGGATTTTTTTTCCTTTTTCTTTCCCCCCTTCATTCAGTTGTGCAATCACAACAGCTGTTGTTTTTTTGTGCCTCATTTGGCACTCAAGTAAAAACAGCAACTTTTTGTTTATAATAATAACAGATGTGAATAAAATTAAAAGCTGTCTATAACAGAGAGGGAGGGCATGTCCTGAATATATGGATATCTTTTTTTCATTCACTGGAAGGTATTGAATAGGTTTGACATTTTCCCAAAATGCATAAAACCTTGAAAGGTTTCGAGTTGCCGAGGTGAATTCAATGAAGCTCAGGCTGTAGAAGATAATGGTTGCTTTATTCAGCGTGCTGGAACTGTGGGTTTCTGAAAAGAGATATTTCCATAGAGGCGCTGTTTCCTTTTGGGGCTATAATGGAGGCCAAGGTTAGAGAGGGAAAACGTCAGGAAAGGGGTCGGGGGTGCTGCTAGGCCAGAGAAACCCCTTGGAGAGTTTATTAATAAACAGCTACATACCCTTTGAATGGCTAAGGGAAGAAACCTCTGATTTGAGAAGAGAGAAAGAGAAGAGAAAAATACCTTGTTCAATAGAAAACCAGCAAAAGGAACAAGAGAGCAGATCTAACAGGATTTGGAGACATTAAAACAGAGAAGTGGGAGAGGCCATTGAGAAACAGGAGACTTGGGTCAAGTGCAAGGTAGGAGCTATTTTCCTACAAGGCTAGAATTTGGGTGGGAAGTGCAAAAAAGGAGCAAAATTTGCAAAGGAGGGTTGTGGCTCTTGGGGAACCTAGAAGTATCAGGGAATCTGGATTCTGTGCTCAGAAGACGGCATGTGGCCATGCAGCAGGTAGGATGTTTCCCAAGACCTGAAGGTAAAAAAGAAAAGTCAACCTGCATTCCAGACATACCTGCGGGCAGCTGCTGATGGGAACACACTGCTTCTTTCGACACTCTGTCTTGCCCTTCACACAAGCACAGATGGTGCAATTAACAGAGGACCACATCTCTCCATCCTATGGGAGAGAGCACACGATTCTGCTATCAGCTGGACGCTGGTGGGAGCTAATCCAAGAGGCTGGAATTTCTCTGCCAAGGAGAGCATTTCTTACTCTGAGTGAGGGATCCATCATCAAACTAAATTACTCTGAGGTGTCTATCTACATCAACCCAATTTGAGGGTGTGTGTGTGTGTGCGCACGTGCACGCGTGTGCTCTCCTCTCTAGGATATAAACAGAATTTTTGTGTGTCTAACCAAATCATATTTGCATCTTGCTCCTCCTGCATTGTTTACTTAGCTTCACCCGGGAAGACAAGCATGAGTTGAATATGATGCAGTACTAGCAAAGCTCTAATGTTCCTGTTTGATAGAACTGAAATGTTTAAGCTATTTCAGGGAGAAGCAGTTGAGATGTAGGAAGGTGGTGGATTTATTCCCACATGTGACATGGTTCTGGACCACACAGGATACGAACATTCAAAAAACAGAGGCTAATTCAAAGGACTCTCATCGCCCAGGCAGACACTTGGTCAGCAAGTCATCCAAATATGTGGAGCCCAGACAGACTATTCCAAGATACCATGTCCCTGACTGTCTGATACTTTCCTCCTCAAAAGCTAGGTAGCCCCTTGGGACACATTTTCTAACCCAAAAAGTTCTGTTTGAGGAGTATTTTTTGGCTCACGGAATCTATAATACACAGTTGCCAATAGCCAGCCACAAGAGGCCCTGTACCTCTGGAGAACACACAGGGATGTGCATCCTAGTTTATGGAAGAGTAGATTGCATGTTCGAGGGTTGGGTTTGAAAACAAAACAAAGATTCCTTCCTGGGTTTGTAGATAGAAGCAGAAAATTTTGTTAAAAACAGAGGAACTAGCTCAGATTTTGATGACTCCTCCTCTTCTTCCTTTTCCTTCTCACTTTTTGAAGCTATTTAAGGACAACTAGAACCTTTTATTTCTCAGGGAACAAAGACCTAACTGAATCGGTCTCAAAGGGCATCTGACTGGTCCAAATTCTCTGAGTGCGCATTTCTAGGACTTGGTGTTTCAAAGATGACTCTCTGTAAATAATTTAAGGCCTCATCACATAAAGGAACCTTTGTACAGCAGTCTTGAAAGCACCTTGTCCACGATACCATCATGAGAGTGAGTCTATTGCATCCCGGTGCTCTGGAAACAGAGGGTGACTTTACGTAAAAAGGACACATGAGTGGCTGTGAAAGCCTGGTGTAAATACAACACACACATGACCCCCTTCCTTTGGCCATGACACATCATTTCTTACTGATTCCATAAGAATCCAGACTCACCCTCCAACTCTATCAATGCAGAAGGAAATCTGGCCAAATGTGACATGAAGATCTCCTGCATCTGACTTGATTTGGAGGGTCTGAGTCTCAAGAATGTCCAGAGAGGACACCTTCAGGTATAGAAAGACTCCCTCCACCTGACAAACTAAATGGAAAGCAGTTTGGACAAAGATAACAAGCTTCATCCTGACGTTTACATGGTCATGGCACAGCTATGCTGCCAGAAAACCGTGGGTAGTATTTGAAAAGCAGCAGATGGTCAGCAGACAGCCATGCCAGCTCGGTGGGGGCAAGGCTCTCTCACTTTCACTCGATGGCTGTGCCAGCAAGAATATCCTCACCTGAATGTCTTCCGGGTGAGAAATTCATTCTTTGGAAAAGCAGCTTTGTGAAAAAGTTCCAAAAGTATTAAGCTATCGAACCATCAGGATCTTGGAAAGGGACACTGAGCATCTCTGAGTGAATGCGATGCCCTCCGTCAGTTGGGCTCCCATAACAGTACCATCCAGGGGTGTCCTCAGCTCAATCCCAATCACTGGCCTACCACATGTGGAAAAGCAGTAATGTTTTACAGGCTTCAAATACTTTATAGAGCAAAAATAAAGCCGAGGAAAACCATTTTTTCAAACAATTGGTTCTCTGCTCCATGTATACTTGATTTTAAATATATGTATGTAATATTACAGTATAAATAATTACATTTGTGCTTGCATGCAAGCGTGCGCGCGCGCACACACACACACACACACCATATACGTCTACAAAATATGGAATACTCCAGTCTGCCTTTTGTCTGGAGCTTTGTACATTGCAGTAGAGTACAGTGGTTCCTACGAGCTTGGCTTGTGACATACCCGAAACACCTTGTTGCCAAACTTGCACACTTTGACGTCTTCTGGGGGCACTCGCAGGAGGCACTCTTCACAGCAGCTCTCCTCCCCTCTGACGCAGCCACCAGGGTGGGAACATTTCTTCTTACATACCACGGTGGAGTCCTGGGGCCCAAAGACAAACGAGAAATTAAAAATGATTTCCATCTCTACAACCATCATACCTGGCCTTCCTTTAACATCCCACAACTGCTTTAAAACATAGTCTGGGGGTGCGTGCATGGCTCAGTGGTTAGGTGACTGACTCTCGATTGTGGCTCAGGTCATGATCTCACAGTCTGTGAGTTCGAGCCCCACATCAGCCTCTGTGCTGGGCATGGAGACTGCTTGGTTTTCTCTCTCTCTCTCTCTCTCTCTTTCTCTCTCTCTCCCTCCCTCCCTCCCTCCTTACCTCCCTCCCTGCCCCTCCCTCTCCCCCTCTCTCTAAAAAAAGAAAACATATTCTGCATATATCATATTTAACTTGTAATAAATCTTTTATCTACTTCAAAATGTTATTTGCTGATTATATATCTGAACTAGAAGATGAAGAAGCTATGAATATCCTCACTACTTTCCAAGTGTTTATAATTTAATGTTCAAGAAGCTGATGATTCCACTCTGGCCAACGTGTGGCGAGAAGGTCCAACTGACTATGAGCCAACCAGCTTCCCTCTTCCTGCCCTTCTCCTCTTGCAGCTTCATTAACATGGCTCTCCTGGGTCTCCTGCAGAGCATGATGCCACCTTTGAGGAGTTTAGCATAAAGGCATGATATCTAGTCAAATAGTAAAAATTAAGACCTAATGTTCCTCCTCAAGATAAAATCCCTTAGCATGTTCCATGTCCACAGAAGAACTGAACAGGACATTCCAAATCTGGACCATGACCATTCTAGGCTCTTCTATAAAATGTGGAACCTTAACCAGGTTGCTTAACCTCTGAGAATGATGAGTTTATATCTGTAACTTTAAGAGGTATGGCTTGATTTCTAGCCAAGTAAATGGTGCCTGCTGATTCACTGAACAACACGTTGAAGAAAAGTTCAGAGCAGTTTAAGAAAAGTAAACTTTTCTAGTGCCCCAGCCAACAAGATGCAATTTCACTGGAGTAGGTTGTTAGTTGGAATGAGTGTTAAGAGCAAAGTATTTATGAGACTTGGTGGCAGGCATGGATGAAGGAGAGCAGTGTCCCTGGTAGATGGACAATCCCTTCACAGTGTGGAGTTAGTATGAGACCAATGATAGGGAAATGAGACCAAGCCCTCTCCTTAGTTAGCATTGAGAACGAATTCATTTAAACAGGTTTTGTAAATCAATTTATGTAACTTCTGCAGCTTCTATGTTAATCCTATGACTTCAACAGTTACTTCTGGTATTATCTACTGACTTATGCATCTAAGATTAACATAACAACGAGATGATCCTTTTAAGAAAACGGAATTGGTTGCCTTTTATTTTTAAGATTCTACCACATGGGATAATAGGTAGGACTGAGCATTGGACAAGACCAGGGGGAATGCCAGTTCCTTTATTAGGTATGTTATCTTGTGCAAATCCATCTTCTTGAGCCCCAGATTCCTCATCTTCAAAAAGGAGATAAGAGCACCTACTTCTCAGGCTTATTGTGCAACTTAAATGAAATATTTAAAGTACTTGGCACAGTTTCTGGCACATAGAAATTATTATAGGTCAACTCATAAATTGGAAAAAAAAGGTCATGTGCCAAACTACGTGCATTGATTTCTGGTTTGAAAGACAAGGACTCACACTAGCTCTCAAGTAATGCATACTCCATGGTAGATTTCCCAGCTTTCATTACACACACACACACACACACACACACACACACACACACTCACCACCCATTAGCTCATATGCCTGGCCCTAGTTTAAGCAATGAGAATATGGAGATGGATACACATGCTTCCGTCTACAATGAGCTCACAGGGCAAAAGGAGAGAGAACCATATGAACAGATAAATTGCAATATAATGTTATCAACAGAACTAGTAAAGGTATAGAGGTAGCAGAAAAGAGGGACAATTACCTACCTAAGTGAGTCCCCTAGTCAGATACTAGGGGAGGAGGTAACATCTGAGATAAGCTATTGTGTACGAAGAGGAGTTTGCTAACCAAATTGAAAGAAGATGAGGTCACTCCAGGGAGAGGAATCGTCAAATATGAAGACACAAAGACTCTGTGTTTTAAAAATTGGCTTTAAAAATAAATCACTGCCACAAAGACTCTGTGTTCATAGTACCATGAAACAATTCCTAAACCTGCCATGGCACTGGGTGGAGGTGCTGGAGAAGGAAGCTCCAAACAGATAGAAAATAATACCGATTATCCAAAATAATTGTAGCCTGATTCTTCAAGCATCCAATTTCCCAAAAATGACTGTGAACTCATACTTTCTGACACACACAAAAAAATCTCTTGAAGGGACAGTATTAATTACACCTCTTTTCAGCACTGAGAAATATTGTCTGATCTCCTCTCAAAGAATCCATGAGACCCAAAGCAGTGCAAGCATAACAAATTCCCATTCATGGGACGTCTGGCTTTCCTGCAATCAAGAGGATTGAAGATGTGATGTGTTTCATCAAACGTTTAGCATCCTCAAGAGGAAGCTATAACCTGTGAAATTCCTGGAGAGGAAGAGAAGTCATGAGGACAGAGGCCAAGGCAAACAGAAGGAGTGGCTGTATGTTTAGCATAGGAAAATATAACCATGGAAGAAAGGAAGGAGTCTCAGGAAAGTATTCTCAGGCTTAGGAAATACTCAGTGTTCAGTGCCAGGGAACAGATAGTTCAGCCCCTACTCAGTCACTTCCCTGAAGTAGTGCATGCTACTTAACAAAGCATGCCTCAAGTAATCAGGAACTTCTGAACTCTAATCCCAGCTACTGACTCATTGCTAACATTGAGCAAAACTCTTCTCTTTCCCTCTCTAGCCCTTTAGTTATTAAAGACAAAACAACAACCATCCCCATCAAAATGTATTATTCTAAATTCATGTCACACAGATGTTTGGGTTAACTCACTAATGAATGATTCTAAAATCTTCCATTAAAAAGATTCTCGTCTTGGCTTTAAAAACAAATCACTGCATAAGCACAGTCAATAAGTATGTGATGTGTATTCCTTTACAATTCTAGAGCTGTGGAATTCTTTCTTTACCACTCATTAGGCCTCTGGTTGCCTTCTGAGAAAAGCAAGCAATGCTTTTCTTACTTTGCAAGTAAGAAATGGTATGATGAACAACACATAAATACTCTCTTCCCAAACTACCAGGTTTATCTTTGTGATGAACTGAAAATCACAGTTCATCACAAAGATATGCCTTTCTTTTCTCTTGAATGGGAATAAAGTCATGTTTATTACAAGGCATGTCAAAGATCTCATCTTGCATGTTAAGAGCCAGAGAACACTGCCAGAGACACTATGTGTCTGATTTTAGAAAGTACCTTAGGACAATTCCTTAGACTTTAGCTCATAGCTCCAGAAGCTAACTTGCAGGTCCTGGGAAGATAACAGTGAATTGTAATTTGGGCCCTATGTTTGAACTTCCTTGCAACCTTAAGTATGATTTCAACTAGTAAAATGGCACTGATAGTCCCTCCTTCCAACAAATGACACATTATTATGTTTGGTTGGAATGTTAACAATAAAGCCCCCAGTGCAATCACTGTTGGATCACAACTCTTCAGAATCACCTTACCCGGCAGGTGCATGCTGTGCAGTTATCATAGAGAAATGAAGATCCATTGTCATAAACATCACTGCGAAAGAGGCAGCTTCCAAATGGGAGGTCAAACACTTTCCTCTGACCTAGAGGGAAGCAACAGCATGGTTTAAGCAAGACAGAAGGCAGGATGTCCCACTTTGTGATCAACAATTTTATCACAGGACTGTTCAACATTCTCACAAGACCAGGTAAGTCTGGTGCACAAAAACAGTCCTCAGCCAGATGTTCCTTGGAGTAATTAACTTAGAGAGTCTTTGTTATAAAGAGTTTGATTCCACACTGAATCATGTAAGTTCAACAAGTCTTTATTACTTTATCACTTTATCATAGTGAACCAAGATGATCAGATCTATTTGACCTGCCCTCATGGAACTTACAGTCTACTGATGGGACAAACCCACAAAAATGATTTAAATATAACAATATGGTGAGTTACAGAAGGAGGACAATCAGGGAACTGTGGAGACAGGGAGGACAGAGAAGACTTCTTGGAAGATGGAAAGCCTCAGCCACATTTTATTTATTTTTTATTTTTTTAATGTTTTTTATTTATTTCTGAGAGAGAGAGCGTGAGCAGGGGAGGGTCAGAGAGAGAGGGAGACACACAATCTGAAACAGGCTCCAGGCTCTGAGCTAGCTGTCAGCACAGAGCCTGATGTGGGGCTCAAACCCACAAACCATGAGATCATGACCTGAGCCGAAGTTGGACGCTTAACAGACTGAGCCACCCAGGTGCTCCAAGCCTCAGCTGCATTTTAAAGAATAAGTAAAGTAATCCAGAAAGCAGGTATTGGCAGGGAAGAGGCAAAGGAAGTCAAGATATCCCACAAAGGACTAGAATGAGCAAAAAGGAGAATGAATGATATAGCATCTCAGCTGGATAAATTACAAGTCCATTGGTATAAAGGATGGCACTAAGTCAACATGTGCCTAGAGGCAGAATCCAACCCATAGGCCAAGTGCCCAAGCTTTCATAGGCATCACACTTTGGTAGAATTAGCTTAGTTTTCCCTGATATGAAGATTGGATTGATGACCAAAAGGGCCATAAAAGCAACCCCAAATAAAGAATGCAATGCAATGTCATTTTTTCTTTCAGACTGTGAGCTTCTACTCCCTGGAGTATATAAAAACATCCCTGACATATTACTTGACTCAAGGACTAAGTTAAGACAAAGATTCATAATCACTCATTAGATTTTTATCCACATTCTCCTTATAAAAAGATTAAAAGCAATCTCTAGTTATCAGAAGGCCCAATGAAACGCTGAAAATACCTATAGGCACATACTAAATGCTACTCTCAGAATTAGAATTGTTGGAATTACCATTAATAGGAATCAAGAAAAATGTCATCTTCCTGTTAGAGTCAACTTCAAGGTTAGGATACAGTATAGAGGCAGAATTAAATCACTAGTTTGGTTCATACTACCAGAAATAAATTTGCCTCAAAAGATAGCAGTGAGTTATAGTTCTGGGTCCCACATATAGACTCCCTAGTGACCTTGAATACTTCTCCAGGTCTCACTTAGTTCACTTGTAAAATGGTACCAATAATGACTCCTTGGTATACATATGGCCTTCTCTACCTATAATGCTAATATGAAAATAGGCAACCAAAGACCCTTTTAAGGTTAGAGAAAATCTAGTTAAATGACTGTATTTGTTCCTAGCAAGTATTAATAATCCAACTAAAACAGGCATTCTTATATGCACCCACAGGTCCTGAGTTTCTTGAGGTTTGTGAAAATTTACAGACTAAATTATAGGACTGCCTGCAAAATACAAAATTCAGCCTTTCTCTAGATTTTCAACTAGACCCTGAAGCATTAGAAAGCTGTGTGCAGGCCACCTACTCAATTGTTTCACCTGAGCAATTTTTAAAGATTGTGATAACCTGGTTTGCCTTTTTCTTATCTTTTATCTACATGTGTTTCGTGTACTTTATAAGTTACCTTAATTCCTTTTTGGCAAGAGGCAGGATATAGATATACAAATATAGTCAAGCTTATTTCTCCACCAATGAAAATACATTTAACAGTTGAGCTCTACATTACTTCCTCAGAGGACCTTTCACCTCTTAGAATGAACTGTCTCTTCTTCTTTTTTTTTTTTTTTTTTAAATGTTTTATTTATTTCTAGGAGAGAGAGAGAGACAGCGTGAGCAGGGGAGGGTCAGAGAAAGAGGGAGTCACAGACTGAAATAGGCTCCAGGCTCTGAGCTGGCAGTCAGCACAGAGCCCGACGCGGGGCTCAAACCCACGAACCGCGATATCATGACCTAAGCGAAAGTCGGATGCTTAACCGACTAAGCCACCCAGGCGCCCCATGAACTGTCTCTTCTTATGTTCCCATAGCTTGGAGCTTTAAAAAAAATTTTTTTTTAACATTTATTCATTTTTGAGGGACAGAGGGAGACAGAGTGTCAGCAGGGGAGGGGCAGAGACAGAGGGAGACACAGATTTCGAGGCAGGTTCCGGACTCTGAGTTGTCAGCACAGAGCCCGATGGGGGGCTTGAACTCATGAATCACGAGATCATGACCTGAGCTGAAGTGGGATGCTTAACCGACTGAGCCACCAAGTGTCCCTCCAAAGCATAGAGCTTTTACTACATTTATAGTACTCAACATTGTGGCATAGATGGATAAATTAGTAGGTGAACAAATGGATGGATAGATTGGTGAAGTGATGCACTAAAAGGTTGCCAAATAAAAAAACTCTTCAACAATATCTCCTGAACAAATATGACCAATTATTTAGATTATCACTCAATTAAAGATAATTTTTACCTAAAAATATTGATGTAAAGTTTTTATCACAGAGCCTGGCATTCCCTAAACAACCCCAATAAGTGGCACATGATGAGTATTATCATAATTATTAGCGGTGGTGTAATTCAAATATGAGCCTAGGCTATGTCATTCTAAGAGGTGCATTGGGTGCTCAGTATACACAAACCTCTGATGAGTCTCTTCAATGAAAATGAAAACAGAGAGGTAGAGAATGTTGTAATGCAAAAGGCTGAGGTATGTCATGTAAATGAATCCTGGTCGAAAGAATATTTAACAGCAAATTGGTGTCCAACCAGCCAAAATTCTAATTAGTCTAAGATTTCAGAATCTAGAAAGTATCCTAACATTTGCTTTTTTCCTTTCTGTCTTTTGTTGTGTGGGTATATTTCTTTTTACCCCTGAGGAACACAAAACTAACCTAAATCCCAAAGTCATTGTAGCCCAAAATTAAGATAAAACATTCAAGAGTGGTACAGGGAGTCCATATACAGCCTAATTCAAGCCATTTCCACATTATTCCACTGGGGTTTAGCCTAACCAAAAAAGGTCTCATTTGGGAGAATTAAGATTTTCAAATTTCCTAAGACTTACTGTTCCTTTTGTAGTCTGTCTTACGACCACAAATGGACAGAAAAGTCTGCATTCAATACAACAGCCATTGCTCATATGAGAAGCTTCTGAGTTGACTCAGCACATCCATGGTACGGGCTTCAAAGCATTAATCAAGCCTACTTATATTCAATGTCAGGCCCCAAAGGACACTTCTTCTGTGATGACTTTCCTGCTCAAATGGAAAGCTGTGTCCGCCATGACCCAAAGCATAATTTCAACCACAGTGAACTGGCTAACTCTATTCCAGGTGTACAAGCACACATGGGCAACCCAGGAAGCACACATATCAGTGGAGATGTCTTTATTCAGGCACACATAAACAATTCTATTCTGTTCTTTTAATTATTTCATAGTGACTTACAAAGTATCACGTGCGTGCGTGTGTGTGTGTGTGTGTGTGCATGTATGTGGGTGTGTGTACATATTGTAGGAAGGCAAACATTAGATGAAGCGTTGGCAGAAGAAAAGATAAAGAAAAGAAAACTGTCTTAGTTTAACAAGATATCTTTATTCAACAACTTGGTTGCAGAAAGATAGACTTCAGGCTATGGCTGTGATAAGCTGGGAATAAAAAATATCAGTCAAGAGGAGGTTCTGGAATTGAGAAAAGCAAGCTATGAAAGGAGAGAAGATTCAAAAAAAGGTGTGGACAGCAACCGATAGGATGCTGGACCCAGACACACAGTGACATTTCCCTGAAGGCGTAATAGCTAAGACCTTTTAAGAACAAAGGGAGCTTAAGGCTCCATTTCATGTTGTTCATTGTGCTCCAGTGAAAAGTAATCACCCTCACTGACCACAAACCTTCAGTAAAATCTACTACACAAGTCTTGATTCAGTAGCACCACAGAATGTGAAAAGACCGGAGGGGAATGTCCCTGTAAGTACAAAATGATGTTGGAAGAGGAGGAGGAGGAAAAGAGGAAGAGGAAGTGAAAATGGAAAAGGAAGAAGTAGCAAGAGAAGGAGGAGGAGGAGGAGAAAGGAGGAGTGTGCGGGAAGGGGCGGAGGAGGAGGAAAATTAAGAGAAAGACAACAGGAGCGGACAAAGCCAGTGGTGACTAGGAAACGTATTAGCCTTCTCAAGGATCCACAGAGATTCTAGTGGGGTTAGTGGGAGGTGTTTTACTGTATTCATACACTAGGTCAAGCTACTTTTATTTGACCTCAGCCAACTCAAGAGTTTGAAGACCACATGTAAGAGGCTGACATACGGATTATAAACAAGAGGCAAAGGACCTCTGGCCCTAGAGACTCTCCATCACAGGCTGTCTCTCACCTGGCAACATGTAGGCCTCTCTCCATATCACCAGGGAGGCTGAGCAGCAGCAGTTAAAGCCTGGGCTTAGGAATCACAGGAACTCGTATTCAGGTATCAACTCTGTACCTCACCAGCTGTGCCACCTTCTAGGCATCTACTCCCCACTGCAATAACACTATTCCCCTCTGCACATATATTACATATCAGAATGATACATTTAGCATCTATACGGCACAGCTTCTTGAGAAAATTTAATGAGAAAAAGCATATAAAGTGCTTTTCATGGTACCTAGGAAATAGTAAATGCTCAATAAAAAATAGCTTGCTATCCTTTCTTGTTGGCTATTTCTCATTGGTCCCCCCAAACCTCTTGCTTTTGGTGCCTTAGCCTCCTGCATACTTTTGCCTCTAAGAGGAACACTAGTCTATATTCCTCCATGTGTTAATTTCGTATGCCTTTAAAATACCGGTCATTTCTACTAATTGTCATATGTCCAATGAAAACTAGTTTCTTCAAGACTGGTCTCCCCACTGGGGGCCATTATCCAAGTTGTCTGGTGAACCAGGTTTACAGATCCAAGGGAACATACGAGAGAAGAAACCCCTGAAGAGACCTCAGAAAAGAGACAAACCCTGTGCACACCTTACATTCCTATAACCAGAAAAGGCAGTTATTCCTAACAAGCCATGAAACAGGACAACCTGAGAACCCCAACATAACGATGTGAATGAAGACTCTCAGCAGAAACTCCCAAGAATAAATTGCTTTGTTCTTTCATCTGAAAACAGTCACTCACCCAAACATTTGGGGCAGCACTGTCCTGGGGGAATGTGGCTAAGGTGCTGAGGACAGGAGAGAATGGGACAGACTTCTCTCACGCACTGTGTCCTGCCTCCCTGAAGAAAAGAGAGAGAGAAAAAAGCACATTTAGAAAAGTAAGTGCATTGATATTGTTTAATCAAAATACCTGAAACAAACTAGGGCCTTCCCTGGCATCCGGTCCTTGGGGGACTGCTCAGATCTGTGTAATTTCTCCCAACTACCCTTGTTCCTTTTATCTTCCCTGGAGGCCACATGAACCTGGAGGTCACATGACCCTTCAGAAGACTGTCCCTGAAAGGATTATTACAGCATCACCTCTCCCCACCCACCCACCACCTTTATCTACCTTTTTCCTTCTCAAGACTAGTCAACTATCTTCCTTTGCTGAGACTGGAGGCTTCCAGCACTAAAACTGGGAAAGTCTCGGGCAAACCAGGAAAAGTTGGCCTCTCTTTCCAACACCCAAGCAAGCAAAGGAGCCCTCTGGGCTTTACAGAGACTTCTCTTTCAGACCCCCATCTTTCTGTAAGTTCTACACACATCTTCCTCCAGGAATACTTCCCTTTCTGTAACTGCTTAAAGGTGTTGCTAGGATGGCTCCATGGGGTTCAGATTTAAGGAAGCAGCCAATCTGCTGAAAATGCATATGCTGGAAGCCAGTATTAGAAGAACCATTTCACTGAATTCACTCAGCTAGCCAAACCTCTTTCTATCACAAGTAGAAGGCAAAAGATGACTGATATTGGAAGGAATGGCGGAGGCTTAGCAGCCTATAGAAAAAGTTCTAGAGCTTTCAGATTTTTCCCTGCCCCTCATTCTCCGCCCTTCCTGTCCTCCTTTCTGACATCCATTCCTTCCTTCTTTGCTCCAGCACGCGCCCCCTTCTCTGGCCATCAGAGTCTCTCCCCTCTCTATGACTTGAAGATGCAATACGCCTACTCCCCCTCCTTGATGCCCCTGTCGAGGCATCTGTTTTCTCAGCCTCAGCAACTTGTAATTGAATCTTCAGAAAGCTGGGCCAAAAAAAAAAAAAAAAATAGTGCTTTCCAGTCAATTTACATCCAACACCTTTGTAAGGCTCATATGAAAACTATCCTGTGCAAAATGAATTGCTATCAAATCTATGAATAATTAATTGTTTCAGAAAATCAGTAGATTTGGTAAATAGATCAGTAGGCAAATGGAATTTCAATGGATTGGTTCCTCTGGGATTTGAGCTAGAAAGCAAAGGAGTAGACCCTCAGGTACCTGCTGTCTGAAACTGGTAATTTATGTCTCAAGAGGCCTCAGGAAATGAGGGACTCACGCTGTAAAGAAGGGAAAGATTCCCTGCGGCATTTCCTCACACCTTCTCCACCGCTTTCTGCAATAACACCAGACGTTAGCCGTCTGGATCAAATTCATGCCCATCCTAGCATCCTGCTGCCATCCATTGTTTCTGCTTTCCCTTGCATTTTTATTATTGTTCTTGCCATTTTTATTATTACCGTTTATTTTTTGGTATGGGTGGATGAAAAGAGTAGGACACTTTATGTCTTTTTAAACATTTATTATTTTTAAGCCACTTTAATGTCGGATTCTTCCACAAACCAAGAGAGAACATACAAAAATACCACAAAAAGCTCTTCTGTTGTTTTTACATTATTTCCAGATCAGCAAGAATCACTAAAAAATCTCCTAAGAATCCCTGGCTGTTTTCTGTGAGGTTCCCTCACTCAACTCTGCATAATCCGAAAGTCTGGCCTTTCACCAGACTTCAGAGGCACATAACCTGAGTCTAGGTCAGACACGGAGGTCTGCCCCAGCTTACACATAAACCACAAAAGTTAAATCTAGAGGGAGGATAGAATGCTCCCCTTAACTTTTAATTTCAAAAAAATTCATCTGCAAGCAACGTCCTAAAATCTTGAAGCCTCAGGCCACATGAGGCTGCCTGTGTGTTGGCTTCTCTTAGGCGCACAGAGAACATATTCTTTTCATCGATAGTCTCTGTTCTTGTTGGATCAGCATCTATTTTTCAAGCATATTTTAAAGTTAAAATTTTTACAAAATATTGCATAATTGCAGAGGAGTTAACTTGTCCAACACTTCGGAAAGCTGGCAAAAGATGAGGGGGGCTCCAGTAATTTTCCTTACAATAAGGTCAAAGAGCGGATTTTGCATATATAATACAAATGCAGTTTGTGTTTCCCAAGAGCCCGTTAAAGTAACTTGAACTGCAATCTGGGCTTGCTGGTTTAGCCAAGTTTTATTTTGTTTGGGTTGTAGGATTGTGGCACAGCCCAAGTCCTGAGGCCGCATTCCAATTAGTACCTCCAAAGAAAGTGCCAGGCCTTTTCGGCTCACAACCTGCTTCTATGATTTCAACCCAGCAGGGAATCTGGTTAAACTATGAGATGTGGCTATGCTGTAAACTAAGAAAGTTAAAATAGCAGAAGCGAACATTTCTGTTTCTAAAAATGTACTAATTCCTACTGTAACTGCACTAATTCCGGCTCTATCAGATTAGCACACTCTTTATAACTGGCTTCCCTGCCTCAGCTCTCTTCCACCAACCCCCCTGGAAACTTCCATATGTCCAGGACTCCTTTCCAACATCCATCCGTCATTTCATTATTTGATCAAATAGTTGTTTAAGGCTTAGATATGCTGAGGACCCAACGGTGAATATAACATACAAAAATTCCTCACCTCATGCAGCTTATGTTACCACTGAGCACGTCCCTATGCTAACGTGGAGGATGACTTCCCACTGCATTTGGGATAAAGTTCAGGCTAAATGTCAATTGTAGAAGCAACTATGGGTGCACTAAGATCTGTTTCTTTTTCTCCTGACATAGACCAACACTACCTTTCTCAGACTCCCTTGCAGTTAGGCCTTATGACTAGGTTCTGACCAACAGGAGGTGGATGGAAATAAAGAACGTGATTCTAAGCCTGACCCATAAAGGTCTCTCCCACTCAATGCTCCACACTCTCACTTTCTAACTCTACTAGATGGATAAGCACCTGAATTGAGGGGATATTGATAGCTCTGCACAGGAAAGAGCTTGCTTCCTTGGGTCACCACGTGGAAGTCTATCCACTAAACACTCACAATGAACTATTAAATGAGCAAGAAACAAATTAAATTACATTAAAATATTCAGATGTCAGTGCCTGGGTGGTTCAGTCAGTTAAACATCTGACTTTTGCTTTTGGCTCAGGCTATGATCTCACGGTTCATGGGATCAAGACCTGTGTCAGGCTCTGTGCTGACAGCATGGAGCCAGCTTGGGTTTCTCTCTCCCTGTCCCTGCTTGCACATGTACACATGTGCATGCACACACACACACACACACACACACACACTCTCTCTCTCTCAAAATAAATAAGCTTTTATAAAATACTCAGATGCATTAGATCTTTATTACCACAGTTAGTCTACTTGGTCAAGATACCCCATAACCTTCTCTCCCACCTCCTTTCCTCACAATACCAACCTGGAGAGGAGAGTCCAGTGTGTATACTTTATTTTCCCCAGGCACATCTGAGGCCTTCCATCTTCTTTATATGTACCTCTTTCCTTCTCTCCCCCCATCATTGACCCCTATAAAAATTCTGCTTCATTCAAGGTCTATTTCGAGCCTCTTCTCCTCTGTGAAGCCTTCTAGAACTCTTAATTTCCCAGTGACTCCCTCTATCTTTCCGTATCTTTCCCTTTCTCATATATATTCCTGTATTTTTGACACATACATAGAAATTTAATCTGGCAAGATGACACGGGTTTTGCCTTCAAGCTAGACTTTGGTGACAGCAAGGACCAGTCCTTTGAGCCTAATATCCTTCAGGAGAGTGACAGGCTCAAGGATACATCTCTGTAAAAATTTCTTGAATGAAAGGAAGAACCACCACATATGATGGGCTTCAGAATCTCAATGAATTTCTCAACTCACTTTGAACTACAGGATGCTGATAAGCTGGTATAGTTTCACGACTGTCTGTGTCTGCTCACCTTGTATCTCCTTGGGTTTTGTACATTTCAGGTACTAACTAAATGTTTGTTGGTGCTGATATATCAAAAAGCAACACTCAACTTCACATTCTAAGCTGGCAGGATTCCTAGCACCCCATATGTTTTGTAAAATGTTTGAAAATTTCTATACGGTTAAAACACACACGGACTAATGACTATATTCTCATCTGGTCAACAAGGAAAGGAATGCTAGGAACTTCCATAGTACTGGTGAGTTATGATTTCCACCACTTTTCTTTAGTTTGTTCTTTAGAGGTGGTCACTTGTTCTGATTACATATCTAAGTGCTTCTCCAAAAGTAGCTGTTTTTAAAAGAAAGACATGAAACTTGTCCCAAGTCTATTTTCCACCCCCTTATTTTTGCTTTAGCTGTTCTAATCAAGAACACAATTGCTTTGTGTCAAAGTTTACCCTAGAGCAGCAGTCTTGCTGCATAATAAAAATCTATCTTCCTGAATCTAGTAATGAGTGCAAGATGATGAAGCCACAGTCATGTGCAAGCAGGATCCTTCCCCCACCCCTGAGGACCACTGAGAAGAGGGGACTGGAAACCATACTGTAACGTGTGACATAGCACTCATCCTTTGAACAGGATGCAGGGTCGGCTCTCCAACAGGAGGTGGGAAGCAGAGTAGTACATTTCCAACCAGTTAGAACCAATCAACTACACTCAGCCACATTCTATAAGGATTTCTCCCTCCAGTGTTCAATTGTTTGAAGAGAATGGATTTCTCCATTGTTCCTAGCTGAAGGTGAGGACAGGGGAGAGAAGACTGGGAGGGGCTAGTGTAGGGGAGAAATATACCTTGAGTGCAAAGAGATTATCCGTGACCCGTAATTCTTATATCATAACAGCCAGTGGTACAAAGCTGATTTGTGAATAGAGTACCACTCTGAATTGCAAATTGGGTCAAAAAACTTTACAAGAGGAAAAAGATGTCCTTAGCCATGCTTCTTTTTGGCTTGCAAACTTATTTTGGTAAACTTCCAGAGCAAGCCAATTACTTCCAGGGGTGAAGGTCTTGGTACTTAGCCTCCCCTGTTCTTGACCAGTGCAGA